GAACAATAATATTTTTTTATATTATATTATCACACTGGCCGATTCCCACCAAGGCAGGGTGGGAATCGGAGCAAACCTTTCTTTACAGATAGATTCATTTTAAGTAGAGCATTATAAAGTCAGACTGAATAAAGTTTAAATAAGTGAAATGTCTCATGTAAATATAGGTTTCGTTCTACACGGCATTTTTTGTTTTATTATATTTCTTGGCAAGTTTTGCCATCCAACAAAAAATAAATACAATGAACTATAGCCCTGAAGTTATTTGTCATGTGTTCTTTGTTTCATCAACTGTTGAACCAGAATTATAGAACAATTTTCATTGAGGTTGCATATTAACTAAAAGAATAAAAAAAGGTCATGCCATATAGCACCCTTGTGGGTTTAGTGCATAGTTTTAATTGTAACAATAATATGCCATATAGTTATACATTGAAGGTAATTTTGGAATATTTAAAAAGGTGAAAAACTTGTGCAGGTTTTAAAAAGTACTTAGATGTTATAGAAACACTTAAGAAATAAAAATTGGAACAAAATACAAATTGCAAGCAAATTACTCAGTCAAGTGAAACAGGAATGTGTTGTACCATATCTATGATTTTTCCTACTATTAACTAACAAAAGTATTTTCAGTGTTTATGGGTCTTTTTTTTTTTTCACCCCTTAAACGGTCCAAGCATATATATGCGTTCTCTCGCCCAGTGCCCCGAATGTTTTGAAAAATATTTTTTTTTTTCATTGAAATAGAGAAATTTTTTTCTAAATGTTATGGATTAAAATAAAAAAAATAAGGTCAGTACTTATTGAGATATAAGGCTGCAAAGTTGGCACTTAATGCTCACCTGACGGCAATATCGAGTCCTGCCACTTGCCAAGTGTTGCCAATATACCTTTTTATCTCATTTTTATATTTTATATAATTTTTATGTTCTGATAATTACAATTTATTGTAGTTCTTGTCATTTCATAACCAGTCTTTGTTCTGACACTAGTATTAGGTACTGAAATTGTACTCTGTCACAAATACAGTGGACCCCCGGTTAACGATATTTTTTCACTCCAGAAGTATGTTCAGGTGCCAGTACTGACCGAATTTGTTCCCATAAGGAATATTGTGAAGTAGATTAGTCCATTTCAGACCCCCAAACATACATGTACAAACACACTTACATAAATACACTTACATAATTGGTCGCATTTGGAGGTGATCGTTATGCGGGGGTCCACTGTACATTGACTGGTGGACATTTACACCTGCCTTGGGATGACATTTGATCAGTGCCAACGAGGGTGCAGAGATAAGATAAGGGGTGACATTTGATGAACTTGTATCTCTGTCTCTGTCTGCTTGTCTCTCTCTCTGTCTCAGAGAGAGCCACTGTGAACCAACAGGTATTCTTATGATGATAAATTAGACACGTGTGCAGCTCTTGGGTATCTTTATTGAGGAAACGTTTTGCCACACAGTGGCTTCATCAGTCCATACAAAGGAGAATCTTGAAGAACAGGAGGAGAATGAGGTAATCAGTCCCTCAACCTTGAGTCGATGTGGTCAGTCCATCAATCTTGAATAGAATACGGCATACATGCGGAGAAGGAGCTTATAAACCGTAGACAGGAGAGGTGCAGCAGTCATAGGTGGTGTCACATTTGTTCAATGTGGAAGTAGGCCGTGCCCAAGAATTAGGCAAGCGAAGAATTCCCAAGTATTAAGATCCCAAGAAGTTGCAGTGTCTGACATGTTTGTAGATGAATGGTTCAGAGAACCGACATGTTGATAAATTAGACACGTGTGCAGCTCTTGGGTATCTTTATTGAGGAAACGTTTCGCCACACAGTGGCTTCATCAGTCCATACGAAGGACTGTATGGACTGATGAAGCCACTGTGTGGTGAAACGTTTCCTCAATAAAGATACCCAAGAGCTGCACACGTGTCTAATTTATCAACATGTCGGTTCTCTGAACCATTCATCTACAATAGGTATTCTTATGCATTATATCTACAAGCGCAGTACAACACTTCGGATTTTTTAGGTTATCCTAGGTAATTTTATGTATAATTGTATTTGTGTACCTGTGAGACAGAGAGATAGAGATAGATAGACCCTAAACTTGAGGTTAACATCATTTTTCTCTTAAAAGGGGAGTGTTAATATGACATTACATCAGCGAATCCTTGGTGTTTGCCGCACTGTTTGCTCTAGCTGGCGCTCAATGTAACTGGCGCTCCCACAGGGTACTAAGTGGTCCCATATTTTTTTAAGATGGTGCACACCGAATGTTAAGACCCATTCGATGCTGACCAGGCATCTCAGGCCAAATGTGCCAAATTTGGAGGGAGGAAAAATTAATATATATTTACATTTGGGGCGCTAGCGATAAGAATGCATATATACATTTGAACCGTTTAGGGGTTAGTTGTTCTTAGCACTAGTAGCCATTCTAGTAGCATGTCTTTAGATTTTTTCTATTTGATCTCCAGTTTCAATTTTGTATGGACACCAGATTATGGCTGTCTATTCCAATTTTGGTTTAGGTACATTGTGCATTTTTGGCATTTAACTATCTATGTACCTGAAGGCTATTTTTATATTGTACAATACTGCAGAACAGTTCTTCCATGCAGTGTACGAATTCATTTGGTCTGCCAGAAGTACCAGTATTTTGTTTTTTATAATTACTTCTAGATACCTTTGTCTGACATTTTATATTCCGAATCTCATAATCTACGTTATTCAGGATGTCTGTTATCAGTTTTTCATTGTCATTATGTGGCACTTGTCAACTTTAAATTCCATCTACAGTGGACCCCCGCATAACGATTACCTCCGAATGCGACCAATTATGTAAGTGTATTTATGTAAGTGCGTTTGTACGTGTATGTTTGGGGGTCTGAAATGGACTAATCTACTTCACAATATTCCTTATGGGAATAAATTCGGTCAGTACTGGCACCTGAACATACTTATGGAGTGAAAAAATATTGTTAACCGGGGGTCCACTGTATTTATCACTCCACTCGCCCAAATACTTGTAGGGATTTACAGTAATTTGTATTGATTTTTCAGTCTTTTTGCAAAAATATTTGTATTTGTGCACTAGCTAGAAAAGTATTGGTTAGTCTTGAGAATGGAAATGGTCACCAATCTGTCGATATCATGGAAATAGGAAAAACTTTATAATCAATATATACTTACTCTCAATATCTGTATTCACCTCCAATATTAATCACTCCATTGTGTCTACCTAAGGTTAATATTAAAATCAAAATTGTAATTCTTCCCTACAAAACTTATCAAAGCCATATAGCATGACCTAAGAAAATATTCAATTCTCTTGTATTCATTGTAACTCATCTAGGGACCATATGTACTGCTATTGCCTTGTTAATTTTAAGTTTGCCCAAAATGCATTGCATATAAAGGGACTTTTGGCATGCACACCCAAGTATATTATATTCCTTTGTACAAACATGTATCATGCTGAAATAAAATATTATTATTATTATTGTTCAGTAAATAAACTGAGAAAGACTGCATTTCCATTGCATTCATGAATTTGTTTTTTATTTGCAATATATTGCATATATTTTAGATAATTAATCTGAAGTTAGCATACATAACTTAAGGAGGAAGGGGGAAGGTTTAGAGGTCATTAAAACAGTGCCTGAGTAGGTCTTCCTGAAACTTGACCAGATATATGAAGTCTGACAAAAGCTTAATGTTGCCTGACCAAGGCAAATAAAACTTTTTGATATTTTCAAATTATTTGTATATTTCAAGTGGAATATGGTTACTGAGTGTAGTTTTGCTCTTTGTGCAGCAAAAGATGAATCTAGTATACTTGAGTTTATATTGTACTTTCTTTTTGAAAAGAATTTATGTAATATGAGGGTGAACTGGCCATGAAAGTAGTATGGTGATAATGCTAGTTTAAGTATGATAATATTAGAAACAAAATGTTTATAGCACTTAATATGCAAAAGAACTCATGAAATCATAACAACATGATTGTGAACAAATCACAGAATGGGTGGAGTATCGAACTTGTGGTAAGCAAGATCTAACACTTGCAGGCCAGTGTGGTCCAGTGGCTAACACTGCCTTGTGCATTTTATGACTCGTTAACCACAGGTTCAAGCCCCACCCATACTGTGATCCAAGTGGATGTAGTACTTTGTAAATAAAATAAGGCAATCAGCAGATACAAGTTATTGTGTAATAGTTTAAAGCATCATTTAGTGAGCACTCAAAAAAAGTCAGAAGGCCTAGATAATGGCTGAGAGGAAGCCATAATGCCTCCACAAGGTCCATTGTTGTGTCTTACTCCCAGTCATTACCTAGGCCTCATTTTCTCAAAGAGCTCACTAAATAATACTTCAAGGAATTAGGAAGCAATAACTTGGCTGCTGAAGGCAGGCCCAAAGTTATTTCTTCATAACAGCAATTGATATTTTGACTTATTTGGTAAAGAATTTACTTGGAATGAAAACAGTTTACTAGTGAATGTTAAATTTCTCATATCTTGCCTTATGAAAGCTGAGCTCCTTGCAGATATAAAATTAGATTAGTGTAGTGTCTCGCAAATACTACTATCTTTTTTTTTATTCTGCATTCTCGGCTTTTCCAGTGTTTGGTATTATGAATAATTGCAATTACCAGTTCAGTGTTTAATTATTTTGCCATTTTAATAGAGTATTCATTAAAAAAAAAATGTATAACTTAGGCAACTACATGTCACTTACCATTATCTGTAAATGAAAAATCTTGATTTTTGCATTAGCTATGAAATCTATTAGTGATGATATTTTAAGGATGCCATCTTTTGGTGTGTTACCTACCTATATGCTTTTTTTTTCTTGGTAAAAGTGAACACACAACTATATCTCAGTCTGTCCTTAAAAAGTATAACACACACACACACACACACACAGTAACTAATTTTTAAAGTTCTCTCTATTCCAGCTGTGAACATGCATTATAAGATAAGACTTGCTTACCAACACTCCTGGTCGGTTGATACTGGGCTGGCTGATTGGAGGCCTGGATAAGTTTGGCCATGGAGCCAGTGGAGCCCGTAGAGAGTGTCGAGGTGGTGGACAGCGAGAGGTGGTTGGGGGTCCGGCCAAGGGTCGCCTTTTTCTTGTCTATGACTTCCTCCTCACCCTCCGATCGCGTTCCCACTTCGTCCTTTCCGCCATCGCTCTTGGTGGTGGAGTCACTGAGTTCGTCTGGTGGTGGGAGAGGACGCGGAGTGAGCTGTAGACCGCAGGTGAGTTCCTTCAGGATAACACTGTTCTTCTTGAATATTTTTTTTTCACACACAGTATGTTACAACGGCCTTGGGCTCACTGAGTCACGGGTCATAATGTCATATTCCCTCCCTGACCCCCACCCTCACTGCTGCCGCCTGGGAGAGGTCGGCGGGCGGGACTCACCCATGCCGTCCGACACGGTCTTGCTACGTGTTCGGAAGTTGTTCTGGTCATGCCCAACCTGCGTCTCGGGCACATTGTCGTAGCTCTCCAAGTTGTCATAATCTATGTTACCTGCTGAATGTCGTTGTAGTGTGGCCGACTGAACTCTGCGGGAGAAAGGGCCACTCAGGGCAGAGTTCACTGACCCTTCAGGGAGGGAAGCTACTTAACTATGATTGTGACGATATATACTCTGTGGCCCACGCAAAATAATTCATTTAAAACTTGATGTTTTTGTAACTACTGTTCACTTTCTTAAATACTGTATAAATGAAAATTTATTGAACCTTAATGCACAGCTATCACCATAATAATAGAAATGCGCTCTTAAAAATAAAATTTAAAGTTACAGCAATTTTAAGTTTAAAGATTACATAAAAGGAAAACAAAAGTAAAGTAATCCTCTTGTAATTTTGGTACTGGAAAGTAGCATATATTAAACATTAAGAATTTAGAGTAACATGGTTATGTAAATATTTTTCCATTTAAAAGTATAAATGAATAATAATGATAATAATGTACAAATAGGCATAAGTTTTATACTCAGTCATTTTTGTATGTAAGAAGAAGTGTAATTTTATCACATCTACCTAATATGAGTATTACCTTTTGCTGGTTAATATATACACTGTATTGAGAGCTGAAGTGAGATATCATTAGTAATGAACTTGTAGAATATAATTATCATTAATACTATTGTATACTGAGGAGCATGAGTGGCTGAAGGCATAAAGCTCTATGTGATACTGCCTAAAACAGAAACATAAAATCACAAGATGACAAAACATAATTTTTTAGACTGACATAGGTGTTTTTTTCTTTGGTGCTGAGCGGGAAGGTTGTAAAGTGTTGGTGTTTCCCTTGCTAGAGAGACTGGAGGATGATGATGAAGGCTTGTTAGCAGGAATGTTCATGTTCCGTACAGATTCACGTATGATTTGTCGGATGGTTTTCAGGAACGCATTGCGGAATTCAGATGTGCTGGGGAGAAAATTAGACATAATTAATGTATCACTTGGTCAATAATTCATACATCATAAATGTGAACAGGTTTCCTGTGAGGAAGAGGGTTAGAATCCTTCCCCTGTAAACCTTGCATGTCATAGGTGACTGAAATGGTGAAGCAAAAATTGAATAGTTCTTTCCCTACAACTGATAAGTGACAAATAATATTAAAAGCAAAAACAATGTTCAAATACCATAAGGAAAGCCATAGAATCTAAAAACAAACTCATTAGCATATTTATTTTTATGCTTTATTAATTTTATTGGACATTATTAATGACTGATAGCTACAAGTAAAAATGTTCTCAATCATTTTAGCCACTGACCCACTGTACATTTATACTGTGTAAGGCTGGTAGCAACATAGCACCTATATACATGCATGGTTAAATACATATTGAATCACTTGCCATTATGTTTAAGTTGAAAAAGCCTTTAAAATCTGAAATATAGAATTCCACAAGATAATTATCTGCATATCCCTCATTGTGTGTATACAGTATATACAGTGGAACCTCGGTACTTGAGCAGCTTCCTACTCAAGCAATTTGGCATTCGAACACTTTGTTCAGTTAAAAAATCGCTCGGTAGTTGAGTGTTTGCTCAGCACTCGACCAAACAAACATGACCTGTTGCTGAGAAGTACATCAGCGAGTTTAGTGACTATGTAGAGGCTGAGGGTTTTATTCCCCAACAAGCGTTCAGTTGTGATGAGACAGGTTTATTTTGCGGAAAAAAAAAAATGTCAAACAACCTATATCACTCGAGAGGAGAAGTCACTGCCAGGACACAAGCCAATGAAGGACAGATTCTTTTGTTGTGCGGGAATGCAAGCGGTGATTTAAGGGGTGACTGATACTCGTATACATCCTGTCATTATTTATCATCCAAATTTGTTCATTTTTGGTGTACTTTAAGAAGCTAAAAATGACATTTGGCAGCAAAAGGCACATAATGACACTGGGAAAAGTTGCTTGGAAACTTTCTATTGATAAAACATGGCTAATCTGATTTTTTGTAAGATTCTTATACAGCCTCTCCTCATTTAGCAACATACAGTACTTGTTAACCAATGACTCGGACTTACGACAGGGTCTCTGACCAGTATGCAGACCTAAATAATGCATATTAGAGATGATTTCCTCTATCCTGTTTATTACAATATACAGTACACTACTGTATAAACATTTACAAATATACCAGAAATATTACAAATGGTGCAAAGATGATATCAAGACAATATCAAAGATGGTTGACACAAACCCACTACCATTATAGTATGCTCCTCACTTAGCAACGAATTCATTAAGTGAGAAGAGGCTGTACTGTAATATGTCTTATCTTCTTTCCCCCCAATTATTATTATAATCAAAAAGAGCGCTAAGCCACAAGGGCTATACAGCGCTGCAGGGCAGGAAGGAAGCGAGGGCATCAGGTGGCAAAAGGGAGGTGGATGAGTAATAGGTTACGGATAATAGTGGAGCAGTGGATGGTGAAAGGGTAAAGGGCAGCAAGAGACTGAGCTAGAAAGGGCTGAGGGGAGTGCGTAAGGTATCATCATCAGAGTTTGTGGAGTAAATCAGTCGTTGTCAAGAAGTCAATGAGAGAGTCAGGATTAAAGGAGGGTCCATCAGCAAGAAGGGAAGGTAAAGAGAGAGTAGTAGAACGAAGACGGCGTTGGAGGTAAATTCTGCGTGCTCGTTGATAGAGAGGGCAGTCTAACAGAATGTGACTAATCGATACAGGAACTTGACACTGCTCACAGAGAGGTACAGGGTGCCTCTCCATGAGATACCCATGAGTAAGACGAGTGTGGCCAATGCGTAGGTGGGAGAGAGTAGTCTCCCAACCTCGGCACTGATGACAAGAAGATGGCCAGTAACCTTCACACCCGTTGTTGCCAACGGGTGTGAAGGTGGGTAGCTATTACAGCAAAATAGTCCGGAAATGGAACACCTCTATATGAAATTGGTAGGTCATGTACTGCTGACCGCGCAGCAGTGTCTGCCTGTTCATTGCCCTGTACGTCAACATGACCAGGGATCCAACAAAAAACAATATCTTTGTGCTTGGTAGAGATATGGCGTAGCCAAAGTTGGATACGGAGAACTAGGGGGTGAGGTGTATCAAATTTCCGTAGAGCACTAAGGGAGTCTGAGACAACCACAAATGATGACACAGGCATAGATGCGATATGAGTAAGAGCTGCAAGAATGGCATACAATTCAGCAGTAAAAATGCTAGCCAAAGATAGTAGATGCCCTCGCACGAAGCTGTCAGGAAACACTGCTGCGAATCCGACGCCGTCAGAAGACTTAGAGCCATCTGTGTACACTGCGATGGCATGAGAATGAATGTGGAAGTGGTCAAGAAAAAGAGAGCGGGAAGCCACCATAGGCAGTTGGGCTTTCGAGCAAGGGAGTGAGAAAGAACAGACCCGAACAGCTGGAACTTCCCAGGGGGGTAGGGAAAAGTGAGATGCTACATGAACATATAAAGGTGGTAACTAAAGGGAAGACAAGAGTGAATGTAGGCGAAGAGAGAAGGGACAGAGGAAACGGCCGGCGAACAAACAAAGAACGTGTACTAATATACTGTTTTTGCAGAGGTGCCCAGATACAATAGTTTAGAAACATATATAAAGATATAAAAAATATCCCTAAAAACTGCCAATATCCCAAACCCCTCCTTTAAAGTGCAGGCATTGTACTTCCCATTTCCAATACTCAAGTCGGCTATATAAAAATAACCGGTTTCCCTGAATCCCTTCACTAAATATTACCCTTTTTTCCTTCATCAATTCTATGGTTAACCTTATCCTTCATAAACCCATCCACTGACATGTCAACTCCCAAATATCTGAAAACATTCACTTCTTCCGTACTCCCTCCCTCCAATGCGATATCCAAATTTTATCTAAATCATCTGATACCCTCATCGCTTTACTCTTATCTGTGTTCACTTTAAACTTGCTACCTTTACACACACTCCCAAACTTGTCCACTAACCTTTGCAACTTTTATTTAGAATCTCCCATAAGCACAGCAAAAAATAACTGTCTACTCCCATTTTGTATTTGATTTCCCATAATTTAATCCCACCCCTCTCCCCAACACCCTAGCATTTACTTCTTTTACAACCCCATCTTTAAATATATTAAACCACCATGGTGACATTACACATCCCTGTCTAAGACCTACTTTTACCAGGAAGTAATCTCCCTCTCTTCTACACGCCCAACCTGAGCCTCACTATCCTCATAAAAACTCTTTACAGCATTTAGTAACTTATACTTGCAACATCTGCCACATTGCTCCTCTATCCACTTTATCATATGCCTTTTCTAAACCCATAAATGCAATGAAAACTTCCCTACCTTTATCTAAATACTGTTCACATATATGCTTCAATGTAAACACTTGATCTACACATCCCTTACCCACTCTAAAGCCGCCTTGCTCATCCAAAATCCTACTCTCTGTCTTACCTCTAGTTCTTTCAGTAATAACCCTACCATACACTTTTCCTGGTATACTCAGTAAACTTATTCCCCTATAATTTTTTTTTCTCCTTTTTCTAAATAGCTCTTGTTCTTCTTTATTTCTTCTATTGTCCATGGGGAAGTGGTAAAGAATCTTTCCTCCGTAAGCCGTGCGTGTCGTATGAGGCGACTAAAATGACGGGAGCAATGGGCTAGTAACCCCTTCTCCTGTAGACATTTACTAAAAAAGAGAAGAAGAAAAACTTTATAAAACTGGGATGCTTGAATGTGCGTGGATGTAGTGCGGATGACAAGAAACAGATGATTGCTGATGTTATGAATGAAAAGAAGTTGGATGTCCTGGCCCTAAGCGAAACAAAGCTGAAGGGGGTAGGGGAGTTTCGGTGGAGGGAAATTAATGGGATTAAATCTGGAGTATCTGAGAGAGTTAGAGCAAAGGAAGGGGTAGCAGTAATGTTGAAGGATCAGTTATGGAACGAGAAAAGAGAATATGAATGTGTAAATTCAAGAATTATGTGGATTAAAGTAAAGGTTGGCTGCGAAGTGGTCATAATAAGCGTGTATGCACCTGGAGAAGAGAGGAATGCAGAGGAGAGAGAGAGATTTTGGGAGATGTTAAGTGAATGTATAGTAGCCTTTGAACCAAGTGAGAGAGTAATTGTGATAGGGGATCTGAATGCTAAAGTAGGAGAAACTTTTAGAGACGGTGTGGTAGGTAAGTTTGGGGTGCCAGGTGTAAATGATAATGGGAGCCCTTTGATTGAACTTTGTATAGAAAGGGGTTTAGTTATAGGTAATACATATTTTAAGAAAAAGAGGATAAATAAGATGTAGGGCGAAATGACAGTAGTTTGTTGGATTATGTATTGGTAGATAAAAGACTGTTGAGTAGACTTCAGGATGTACATGTTTATAAAGGGGCCACAGATATATCAGATCACTTTCTAGTTGTAGCTACACTGAGAGTAAAAGGTAGATGGGATACAAGGAGAATAGAAGCATCAGGGAAGAGAGAGTGAAGGTTTATAACTAAAAGAGGAGGCAGTTAGGGTAAGATATAAACAGCTATTGGAGGATAGATGGGCTAATGAGAGCATAGGCAATGGGGTCGAAGAGGTATGGGGTAGGTTTAAAAATGTAATGTTAGAGTGTTCAGCAGAAGTTTGTGGTTACAGGAAAGTGGTGTGCGGGAGGGAAGAGGAGCGATTGGTGGAATGATGATGTAAAGAAAGTAGTAAGGGAGAAAAAGTTAGCATATGAGAAGTTTTTACAAAGTAGAAGTGATGCAAGGAGGGAAGAGTATATGGAGAAAAAGAGAGATTAAGAGAGTGGTGAAGCAATGTAAAAAGAGAGCAAATAAGAGAGTGGGTGAGATGTTATCAACAAATTTTGTTGAAAATAAGAAAAAGTTTTGGAGTGAGATTAACAAGTTAAGGAAGCCTAGAGAACAAATGGATTTGTCAGTTAAAAATAG